GAGGCGGGCTTGTTGGACTACCCTGTATATATCCAGGAAATATTTAAACTACTGCCGGAGGAAACTCAGGTTGTGGGATATGCGGACGATTTTGTTTTTTTTTTAAAGGGGAAATCTGCCAATCAAATGGTAGATAAAATAAACCTGGCTATCATTAGCAAATGGGTTAGAGCAAATGGCTTTAGATTGTCGTATGATAAATGTGAGGCAGTCCACTTTGTCAAAGGAAACCGAAGAAGTGAAATTCAACCCATAAAAATAAATGGTATCACCATACCCTACCGAACATCTGTCAAATATCTGTGCATTCATTTGGACAGTCATCTCAATTTCAACAAACACACAGAACATGCAACTCAGAAAGCAAAGAAAGGACTCAACGTAATCAAATCCTTCTGCAGAGTTTGGTGGGGATCAGACCCACTGACTCTCAGAACAGTGTTGGGAGGACTAGTAATATCCCACCTAGACTGGAGCTTTTCTTCTTAAGCTACTTTCAAAGAAAAATAAACAGAAGATAGACAACGTTTTTCATGCTGAACCGCTGAACTCAGGACCATTTTGGGATGCATGAGATCAACCCCTATTAATGCACTAAAAGGAATCAGGAATGATGGATTTAATATAGAAGATGGCTAGCCGTCAAATACCTGTCTAGAGTATACTGTCTCAAGATCACCCACTCATACCCATACTGAAAAAAATTAAACATCACAAAATGCACAACGCAAATTACAAATTACTGGAGAGGTATGGACATTCCCTACCTAGTAAGCGCACGATTACTTCCTACCATACGAAAGAAGAATGAACCGTGGAACAGTCCTGGCATGTTTTGAAGTCGAAATGGAGATCCAATTGAGGGGTGTCCCAGTTATAGATTTAAATTTAAAAAAAAACATGATACTGACACAACCAACAAGTTTATGGAAAAAACAAGTTCCCTGGATCGGCAATATAAACAAATATACACAGATGGCTCCAGAGATGACGGAAAAACTGGATATGGGATACACTGCCCAAACAGGAAATACAACTTTTCTGCAAGATTGCCGGTTGAAATCGACATTTGCACAGCGGTAATTGTTGCTATAAACGAAGGAGCACTCTATGCACTGGAAAAAAACATACAAAATACATTGATCCTAACAGACTCAAAAAGTGCAATACAAAAGCTTCAAAGAACCCATATAAATCCTGATAGTGATGAGATAGAGCCCAAAACCAAACGATTGATCTTGGAAGCAAACTAATCTATTAACATTGAACTGGCATGGATACCTGGTCACTCTGGTCTGAAGGGCGATGAATGTGGTGACAAACTTGCCAACATAGGAAGAATCCTAAATGTTCCAAGGAATTGTACCTACTTGCAAAAAGTATATCTATATGGGTAAAAGACTGAGACCCGACAAGTCACCTGTGACTTAGGGTACTAACAGTTCTAATGCTATACTAAGTTATTAATAAAAGGGGCATGAGTATAAGTTTAAGTTTAGCATAGTTTTTTTCAAAGACTTTATAGTATGTAAATAACGGGTTTTTTGCTTATAACATGTATACTTATATGCCATTCTGTAATATATTTCATTTCAATATATTTCATTTCATTTCATATTTCATTTCATTTCATCTCACTGGAAAAAATGAAAAAGGAAACTGGTACAAACAGGTTCAGCCAGAATTTCCAAAAAAGATATGGTTCAAAAATCTTAAATATAAACAGGCGACACATCACCATCCATCAATGAATGCGTACGGATCATTGTTTGACAAAACAACATCTTTGCAGAATAGGTGTAAAAGAGGATTCCTACTGTGAGTGTGGCCAAACTGAAAACCTGGACCACATATTCTTGGAATGCCCTATAAATCGTATACCAAACTTTGATATCTATCAAACCTTCATTGACGGAAAAATTCCAGCGCCTTTTAGCATGGCAACAATACTTTCCAAGATTACTCCTGAAACGGTTTTGATTCTTAATAGATTCCTGAACTACAAAATAGAAATTTGAACACTTTATTTCAATTTTTGTTACTTAATCTTTTTTCGCGACAAAAAAAAAAAGAAAACACCACCCACACTCATTCCAACCCCCACCACAACCCATCCGCTTGTGATTTCCTAGTTTAGATTTGTTGTGTATGTTGGGCACCTGCTTACTTGTTGTGACGTCTCACTTACATTGAACCTCAATCAAACATACCGGGTGCCCACGAACTCACTTTCCGGCTGCCATTTTTTTATTTATTTATCGATATCAACGAAACTTTGTACGGTTAATATTCTAACCAAACGCCATTTTTATGCATCTAAGACAAGTTTTTCTGACTTCCGGTTTCACCGGAATTTTTGATTTTTAAATGGCACACCCTGTATATTTTTTGTTTTTCGGATTCTCAAATCATTTTATGTCCTAATGCGCCACTTTTGAATCGATTTTTTTAAAAATTTTGTTTTTTAATTAAAGTTAAATTTTTTAACTAGAGTGCCATGATCATCCTAAAATGACTCTAGATACTTTACTTAATTTCAGAAAAATACAAACTCAATTTCATCTTTGTAAAATTTTTTGATAGAGGGCTGCAAACTTCATTATTTTAGTATTTTCGCCTTAGCTCAGAAACTAGAATAGAAACATATCACTTTCACAACATCACTAAATGCAGTATTTTAAGGCGAATCCAACGATATAATACACTACGACATTTTTCCTAATTTTCGTGTTTAAACATTTTTGATGTTGGTAATTTATTTTTTTTTTCTACTTAAAATTTAATTTGAAAACGAAATTTGGACAAAACTCGATTTAAAAGTGGTACACTAGGAAGTGAAACGATCTGTAGAATCGAGAAAATAAAAAATATACAGGGTGTGCCGGTATAGCTAGCTCGATATTCAACACAGCACAGTCGCAAATTCTCAATTCTCAGCACACATACAAATCCAAACTAACTATATAGTGCTCGGGATATGGTTTAGAGCAGTGGTTCCCAAACTTTTTTAACCTACCGCCCACTTTTAGAAAATGGGAATTATCCAGCGCCCCCTTTGGCAGGGATCCAAGATATTGAAGCGGCGCCTTTTTTTTGAAAATTTTCACGGTCGTGCGTTTTCTTGGCAAGGGGCTGAGCATCAAGTTACCTCCTCAGTAGGATTTTGTCAGAAAATGACCGAATATGGAAATTTTGAGGAAAACCTGATGCAGCACAGTTCAGCATACTTCAGATTGCATAAGAATCCATTTTTGTTTCATCTTATTTCTAAAATGTTGGGAGGCTGAGCGTCAAGTTAGCCTTCCCAGTAGGATTTTGTCGAAAAATTACCGAATATAAAAATTTTGAGAAAAACCTGATACAACACAGGTTCAGCACACTTCAGATTGCATAAGAATCAATTTTGGTTTGATTTCCAAAATTTTTGGGGGGGCTCAGGGTCAAGTTAGCTCTCCCAGTAGGAATTTGTCAGGAAATGACCGAATATGGGAATTTTGAGAAACCTGATACAGCGCACTTCAGATTGTATAAGAGTCCATTTTTTTTTTCATCTTATTTCCATAATTTTGAGGGCTGAGCGTTATGTTAGCCCCCCCAATAGGATTTTGCCTGAAAATTACCGAATATGGAAATTTCGAGAAAAACCTAATACAGCACAGTCCAGCACACTTCAGATTGCATAAGAATCCATTTTTGTTTCATCTGATTTCCAAAACTTTGGGGGGCTGAGCGTCAAGTTAGCACCCCCAGAAGGATTTTGTCGGAAAATGACCGAATATGAAAGTTTTGAGAAAAACCCGAGGAAAAACCTGATACAGCACAGTTCAGCACACTTCCGATTGCATAAGAACTCATTTTTGTTTGATTGGATTTCCAACATTTTGGGGGGGCTGAGCCTCAAGTTGGCCCCTCATCTTGTTTCCCCTAGAATTTTGGTATCAGAACAGCACAGTTCAAAGTGGTTGCAATTTTGTTAGAAAAGTCGAATGGGGGTGGGGGGGCTTACTTGACGGAGCTAATTTTTGAGCTTTTTGACAATAACTTTAATGTAGCTGCTGCTGATCAATGCGTGTATTAGCGGTATCGCATTTTAAGCAAGTCATAGCAGACTTAGTTGAGGTGCGTGCGGGTTGCGTTCATAACTTGAAGCTTGCCAAAATTGACTCTGAAAGAGATAGACAGACTGACTATGAGCCTTATCTTTATAGTATTGAAGAGTAATTTCCGTAAAAAGCCATTTACTATTTAATTTTAATTTTTTTTCTGATCTGTCCGTTTATTTTCCACCGCCCACTAATTTGTGCTCACCGCCCTCCAAAATCAGCTGAGCTCTTCACCGCCCCCCGAGATGGTTGTAGCGCCCACTGGGGGGCGTTATCGCCCACTTTGGGAACCACTGGTTTAGAGCCAGACACAACCCCGGGCATACCCTAATGCGCTGGCAAATTGCCTAATGGAGCAGAAGCCAAAATAAAGAAGAAGACTTCCTCGGAATCGCCAACTCTACCACATATGGATGGAATGCCTGTGAGGTTCTTGTGGTTCTTAAATAACTTCTCCCAGCTAGAATGAGGCTGGTAGATAGTCGGGTAATAACAATAACAGTTCTGTTATTTAACAATAGAAAATGTACACATAACACGGACACTTCATTTGTTCATTTTCCATGATAAAAGTTGTTTTTTTTCCGTATTTCCGTTAGATATTTCTCCATCCAGTCTATTTTTGAATGTGTTCGCATGTGCTAGCTAGCAAGCTGTCACTATCTCTTTCTTCAATTCTGATCATCAAAACTCAAAACTACTCGAGAAAAACTTTATAGTAAACCGTGTAGTGCATTCTTGGAATTTGCTTTGCCAAAATACTGTGCCAGCATCAAAAAACTAATATTTTTCAAAATCGATTTGACAGAGAATTAAAAGAATACTCAGAAAGAATAATTCAATATGATGCAAGAACTAATATAAATCTGTCATATTATAATGTCTACTGTATTTTACCTGTGGTAGACACAGCTCCAATATTATCGTCAGCATACGTTCCACTACCAATCAACGATGTATCACTACTCCTGCCTACCATCTTCCCGTTAATACCTCCAGTTGAAGTTGCAGCAGCCAGATTACCATTTTTATCTATGGCCACTGCACCCACTGTACCCACTTCACCTGGATCACCATCAGGAGCTCGTTCTCCAATTTCCGTTCGCTGATCTTTCGACTTTTTATACTCTTCCAAAGCTTTTCGGGCGTACGGTGATACCAAACTTCCTGGAGCAACAGTCGGAATGCCTTGGTTATTGGCAAATTTGTTGGCTCCCGCTCCTGCTAGGAGTATGTGCGGTGTTTTTTCCATTACCAATCGGGCCAAACTAAAATTGATGAATTATTGTTGTGGTTTTAAAATATTATCAGTAACAAATATCATAGCATGATACCAGTCTGAGATTATATCTACTATCTACAGTGTACGTCTCCTATAGTTTTCTGAAAAAAGAGAACTTTGGGAGAATTGAATGGAATATTGGAAGCAATTCGTGACCGAAAACCCCTTTCGTTTGTTTTGTTTTCTGTGAATAATAAGCCAACATAGGGTTATTGTAGCAGAGCTATCCTGTTATTCAGTCAAAATATTTGTAAATTGAAGTTCATCAATTTATCTACAAATGCGACTTGACTTCAATTTTTGACAAAATTTTGAATCGTGACGCTGCATTGCTGCATATTTTGAACACTAAAAAATCTTTCGCATGTAATTTTGTGGCACTTTATGTTCAAATTTGGAGATAATATCAGATACAATTTAAAGTAGAAAACTATTTTATTAACCGGAAAATGAACAATAGAAATTAATAAAAATAATATAAAAAATGACTACTACTTTGACAAATTGTCACACTAACTAAAAACTGGTTCACAGGTGTACAAAAAATAACTATAAATAAAAGAATGCAATCCTATTGATTGTCTCAAACCTTGATACAGACCCATGAAAACTGTTTACCTATTCAAATTTAAAAATGATTATTGTTGAACAAGTATATTATTTCAACACCCCCTCTCAACCATAATTATTTTTCAATCAGTCAGACAGGCCACTCTTGGCACTTAAATATTCCAACTTCACTTTATTTAGCGGCTTGGTTAACATATCAGCAATCATATCCTCAGTCGGACGATATTTAAAATCAAAAACCCGCCTTTCACACAATTCTTTCACAAAGTGATACTTTGTATCAATGTGTTTTGTTCTATTACTAAATTTATGGTTTTCTAGTTGCTTAAGACAACTTTGGTTGTCTTCATACATAACTACTCTCGGTTCCAAATCCACAAACTCCTGTATCATCTGCTTTAACCAAATTGCTTCTTGACAACCCTCAGCTAGTGCTATGTACTCAGCTTCAGTTGACGATAGTGACACACAGCTCTGCTTCCTGCATCCCCAATTAATAGGTGCACCCTGTATCATGAATATGTATCCGCTATTCGATTTTCTGTTCTGTTTATCTTCCGCCCAATCAGCGTCTGCATATCCATATAGTACACTATCTGAACTGCGTTCTCCTAATACGAGTTTTTTATGTTTTGTTTTCTTTAAATATCTCAACATTCTTTTAGCTTCATTCCAGTCAACTTCTTTCGGATCCTTATTGTGTTGACTTAATATAGTTACACTAGCCAATATATCAGGTCTCGTATTTACTGCAATGTATAGCAATCCTCCGATTAATTGTTGGTATATTTCACTATTTTTCATAGGCTCCAGCCGGTCTAGTTTATAATATCCGTTATCCAATGGTATATTTGATGTTTTTGAATCTTTCATTCCAAACTTGTCTAACAGTTTGTCTATATACTTTGCTTGATTCAAACTGTAAATTCCTTGATCATTTTTCACAATATTTATTTCTAAATAATTTTTTAATAACCCCAAACTTGTTATCTCAAAATGATGTTTTAATTTTTCTTCAAAAAAGTCAATTTCTTCAATATCCTTTGCTGCAATCAATATATCATCTACGTATATTATTATGTAAACCCTTTGGTCATCGATAATCTTAATATACAAACATGCATCAATATTACTTTTACGAAATCCATCATTTGTCAATATTTCATCAAGTTTCTGGTTCCAGATTCTGGCAGACTGTTTCAATCCGTGTAAGCTCTTGTTCAATTTGCAAACATAACTTGTGTCTCCTTCTTCAAATCCTTCAGGTTGTTTCATATAAATTTCTTCTGTCAGTTCTCCGTTTAGGAAAGCTGTTTTTGCATCTAAATGTCTTATTGTGAGATCTTGACTCCATGCCTGTGTTAGCAATATTCGGAAAGTTGCTTGCCGCACTACAGGTGCGAATACTTCATCGTAATCAACTCCGAATTTTTGGCTAAAACCCCTCGCCACCAGTCGTGCCTTATATTTGTTCGACGTTTTATCTTCACCTGTCTTTAGCTTGAATATCCATTTACATGATACTATATTTTTTCCTTTCGGTGCATGTACTAAGTTCCATGTTTCGTTAACCTTTAATGATTTGAATTCGTCTTGCATAGCTTGCATCCATTTTCCACTATCTTTGCTGGCAAGAGCTTCCTTGAAGTTTTTGGGCTCTATTTCTTGTAGTTCAACGAACTTTGCTACGTAGCGCTCGGGTGGAACTCCCTTATTTACTCTATTTGATTTACTACGGCCACCCACGTCATACATGCCAGGTTCTTTGCTCGGTTGATAGCTTTGACCACTGCCGTGATATTGTTTTGTATTTGAACCTTCATAAGAACTAGATTCTTCCGTGGCTTCTTCTATTTCCTCGATATTTTCGAAATCGGTGACCTCTTTTTCCTCTGAGTTGTTTGGTTCGTTTTTCTCCTGTGCTTTTGTCAATTCGAAAAACACTTCCGATAAAACTTCTTGCCTTTTCTTCTTTTTTATTTTATTTTCTTCAATATATGTATTACTTTCGGGGAACACCACACTACGACTTATTTTTATACGCCCTGTATATTTATCCAACAACCTAAATGCTTTAGATTCATCAGAATATCCCACGAAAATTAACGACTCCGCCTTTTTATCAAATTTATTTTTAATTAGTTCCTTTGGAATGTGACTGTAAACTCTAGACCCAAATATTTGCAAATTCGACACGTCAGGTTTAACTTCATGCCATAACTCAAAAGGTGTTTTATGTTTTGACTGGGTAGGTAGTCGATTTTGCAAATAATTGGCTGTAACTATTGCTTCACCCCAAAATTTCTTTGATAAATCCCCATCAATTAACATACACCTAGCCATCTCAACTAGCGACCTATTTTTCCTCTCAGCAACCCCATTTTGCTCTGGAGAGTACCCCGCAGTGTACTGAATTTTTATGCCCTTACCCTTTAAATATTCCCTCAAAAAATTATTTACATACTCACCACCCCTATCCGACCTAAAAGCCTTCGGAACCCTGCCTGACTGATTATTCATTAACTCAATAAATTCTTTAATATATTTTAAAGTTTCATTTTTATGATTCATTAAATATACAGTTGTATACCTTGAGAAATCGTCAATTAAAGTAAGAATGTATCGCTTACCTCCCGGAGTGACAGTCTTCATGGGTCCGCGAACATCTGTATGTATTAAATCAAGTATATTGAATGTATTATTTTGAGAATTTTTCGGGAAACTCTTGCGGATAATTTTACCTTGTACACAACAATTGCAAGTTTCTCTGATCCCACAGTCCTTAATAATAATCCCGGATGCCATTTTTCTATCCATCAGGTGCTTGATTGCTTCCATGTCCCTGTGCCCAAATCGTCGATGCCATGTATGCTGACGCTGACAGTCACTTGAATGTTCATTAGTAACGCTTAGTGCCTGCTGCACGGTTGATAACTTGTACAAGTCGGGCGCCGGGCTTGCACTTGCTATCACTTTTTCGTGTAAAACGATTTTACATTCACTGTCGTTAAAATGCACGTTATAACCCGCACTTGTTAGTTTTTTCACAGAAAGTAGATTTGAATCCAATTGCGGCACAAACAACACATCATCGATTTTTAGCTCGTATACTTCCGCTCTATTTACACACTTGATGGATCCTGTGCCTATGCCTTCAACTTTGGAGTGCTGCCCCTTCTCTGCTAGTCTCACAACGCCTTTTCTGCTTTCATCAAACTGGGTATAAAATCCCTTAGAATTAACCATGTGACTCGAAGCTCCTGAATCCACATACCACGAAGCAGAATCCCGTTTCACGTCGCTAAAATTTACCATAAAACACATATCATCAGTATTATTTTCACTAACTGTATTGGCCCTTTCTTTTATAAACGCCTTATACTTAAAACAATCCCGTTTAAAGTGGCCTTTTCTGTTACAAAAGTAACATTGCTTTCCGTCTGTGTTTGCACTGTTTGCAGCATGATTGCTTCTGTCACCTTTATATACTGACTTCATGGCTAACTCCTCTTGAATTCTCAAAGAGCCTTGACGTCTCCTGTACTCATCGATTAATTTACTTTTGACGAATTCCAGCGTAAATTCATTTGATGGTTTACTTTCCAGCGCTGTAATTAAAAAACTGTACGAGTCTGGAAGACTTCCCAGCAAAATCCCTGCTGCAAATCTGTCCTTAATTTCTTCTCCTAAGGCGGCCAATTTGTGCAATAATTCCAAGAATAAACTGATGTGTGCTTCCATATCACCATTTTCTTCTAGCGTCAACCTGCAAATCCGCTTTAATAGAAACACCATGCTAGATAAACTTGATTTTTGGTGATACTCCTTTAGTGCTTCCCACGCCTCACGTGCATATTGCTTATTTCTGATATGCACCAATTGACTAACATCGACAAGTAGGGCTATAGTTGATAAGGCTTTGTCATTTTCCTTTTTCCATTTGGCGTCTTGCGCTGCTTGTGTTGGTACTGCAGTCGATACTACGTCCCATAAATCAGCATTTATGAGTAACATTTTCACCAGATAATTCCATGACTCGTAATTCTGCCCGTTCAATTTTTCAATGTTATACTCGGCACCTTCCGCCATTATTCCGGTTTTTAAGAGTTTCCGCGAACACAACTCGCGATTGTACCCTTTATTTATTATCTCTTACAGGCCCCGTATTCTTGACTGCCCGGGAAGGGAGTGTTCCTGGGAACGTTCCCAGGAAAGCTAGTTCACTTTCGCTCCCGGGATCTAAGAGGTCGTATTCTTGAATACCCACAAGCGCTCACAATGTTGCCGCCTATGAGAGTGTCAATCAAACTAACCAAAACGTGTTTCAAGCGAAAAAAGGAAGAGGAAGTTATCTAACTCTATCTAACCCCACGTTTGATATTTATTATTGTCTATTTTTCAAAACTTTGAAAGCTG